GTGCCTGGGAAAGCAGTGGAAGATGGCCCATGTAATTAACTAGGCCCCTGCTACCCACATGGGAAACCAGATGAAGTTCCAGGCTTTGGCCTGACCCAGTCCTGGCTGTTGAGGCCATCTGGGGAGTGAACAAGTGGACAGAAAATTCTCTTTGTCTCTCTGTGTGTGACACTCTTTGAAATGCAGAAATAAGAAAGAAGGAAGGAGGGAGGGAGGGAGGGAGGGAAGAAAGAAGGTGCTGTTGGGACACCCACATCCCAAATCCCGTACCAGAGGACCTGAGTGTGTTTGAGTACCAGCTCCGCTGATTCCAGCTTTCCTTCTGAGGAATCAGGTGTTGTCTCAAGTAGTTAGCTTTCTGCCATCCATGTGGGAGACCCAGATTGAATTTCAGGCTCCTGGCTTTAGCCTGGCCCAGCCCCAACTGTACTGGGTATTTGGGGAGTGAACTAGTAGATGGAAGTTCTCTGTGTCTGCCTTTCAAATAAAGATACTTAAAAAATGTTTTTTTTTTAAATTGGTTCAAGTACACTGAAAGCCATGCATAGTTCTTTCATATGTATTTCACAAACTTTTGCAGACCTCCCAGCCATGTCTCTTGATTGCCTGGCTTCTAATTCTTGTTTTTTCAAGAAATTAGTCTGGCTGGTTTACAGGATCCTTTGTGCCAAGTGCTCATCTCTCCCTTGCTTTATCGCCATGATATTGTTGATTTGCTCATGGGTGTGTCCCCCTTTCCTAGACTGCCAGAGAATGTAGCTTAGATATTTATATTACATGATAATTTATCTCAAACGTAAAAAGTCTTAAAGTCCACATGCAAGGGAAGGTTACCCAGATAATGTTCTCATTACCTATAGTGATCACAATTCTGTATGAGCTCCTTTGCAGTCATTTTCATGACCACATGTTTCTCAGGTATATCACAACCTAACAACCAGTTGCCACAAGTGAAACTTGAATTGGATTCTGGACTTAAATTGGTATGTATGATAGGTGAACTTATTGAATTCATGTTGATTTTATTAGAGCTGATAATGGCATTACAGTCTGCTAGAATCTGCTTTTCTTACATAGTGAGCAGCTGCTTAAGATTTTAGTGGAAAAGTGTCTTGATGTCTGTATACTTATTTTTTTTTTTACAGGCAGAGTGGACAGTGAGAGAGAGAGACAGACAGAAAGGTCGGTCTTCCTTTACCGTTGGTTCACCCTCCAATGGCCGCTGCGGCCGGCGCACTGTGGCCGGTGCACCACGCTGGTCCGAAGCCAGGAGCCAGGTGCTTCCTCCTGGTCTCCTATGTAGGTGCAGGGGACCAAGCACTTGGGCCATCCTCCACTGCACTCCTGGGCCACAACAGAGAGCTGGACCGGAAGAGGGGCAACTGGGACAGAATCAGGCACCCTGACCAGGACTAGAACCAGGTGGAGAATTAGCCTAGTGAGCCACAGCACCGGCCTGTATACTTATTTTCAAACTGTTCATTTTTATAAAGCAGACATGTACAGACAACTACAGCAGTTGTATCAAACTGTTAATAAAAAGCGTATTCTTTGTACTAATCTTTCAACTTCTCTGTATACTTGAAATTTTAAAAAATAAAAAAAATTGAGTAAAGTGGCTGAGAACACTATCTTAAAATACATACCTGTTAAGAAAATTTTCCAAAACTTAAGTAGCTGGGGCTCAGAAAATGACATCCCAAGGCGAAGCCCTCAGCAGCAGAGCCTTGAGCTCCTGCCCACCTCTTACCCCCAACCTCCCCAGAGACAAGCCACATTGATTGAAGTTCCCTCCACAGAGGCAGGGCACAGAAGCCAGAATCTCCCTAATGCTAGCCGCAAACCCTAAAAACACTGCTCTGGTTTCCACCGGCACCCTCCTCTTTGCTGTGCACGAGTTGGCCATGAGGAAACTCTCCAGCGGATCTTGTTTGCTTAGAGGTCATAAGATTCCCCGTTCCAGACAGGTCCTGCCCGACACGGAAGGCAGCAATGCAGCACAGAGACACCGGGAAGAATCTGGACAGACGGCCCTGGCCGGGTTTCCCCTCAGTCTATGTCACTATTAGATCATCTTCCCTCTGGCCAGTTACATTTCTCTAAGTCTGTTCAAGCTTCAGGCAACTTAAGCATAAAAATGGATACTTGCCCCTGGATCCTTGGGTCTTCAACCCGAAGTCTCCATGTTTCCTAAAACTATAATCATAGTTGCTATGCTTTGCTCGTGCTAACTGCTCTTTTGTTACAGGAGTGTCAACTGCGCCCTTTCATGACGGGCAGGAAAAGGATCGCCTCGTTTCCCAGCCCTACAGTGTCAACACTGCCCTCCCCAGTGCACTAAAAAGTCCCTTCTATTGCCGTGTTCACACCCGAAAGCCTCTGCTTGTCAATCAGGTTTGTTTTTAAACGTTGGAAGGCACAGCTATCCTTCAAAAAGCATTTTACAGTTCGCTCTCTTAGTTGGCCAACCATCACTAGGCTGTTCATTTTTATTTTCCTTAATGAGGACATACCCTACTGCAGAAGTTTAAGCAGGTAAAAATGTGTTCCCAATGCTACATGTAATTGCTTGAGATTAGACACTGGAGATTTTCATCTGCGAAAACTGGCGGTCATGAGGAAACAGCAAAGGTTGAGGAAGCAGTCCAGATGTAATCCTTTTGGAACCGCCTAATCTCTAGCAGCAGCTCATTACATTTTATTGCTATAAAGCTGACAAGGACTTAGCATTTATATTTCCATTATATTCAGATGATATTTAAGGAAAAAAAGCTTATCATTTTTATCTAAAAGAGCTAATGAACCTAAAAGCATGACCAAGAGAACTGAAAATACATGGCCACACAAACACTAGTACCTGACTGTCCATATTGGCATTCTTCTTTTTCTTTTCTTTTTTTATTTATTTTTTTGACAGGCAGATAGCCAAAAAGTACAAACCCCCTGAACGCCCATCAGCTGAGGCATGGAGAGACAGCATGTGGTATATCCACACAATGGAATAGGATCTGGTCAGAAAAAGGAACAAAACGCTGACGTGGGGCAGCATGAATGGCTCTTGAAAACAGGATGCAGTGCGAAAGGAGTCAGACACAGAAACCACATTGTATGCTTCCATTGCTAGAAAATATCCAGAACAGGCAAATCCAGAGACTTGAGCTCATTATGTTTGTGTTGAGCTGGGGGCAGAGGGGTCAGGAACGGGGAGTGACTGCTAACGGGCACAGTGTCCTTTCAGGAGAGATGACAGTGTCCTGAAATTAGATGGAAATTCTTGCACAACTTTGCGCATATATGAAAACTGCTGAATTGTGCGATTTAAATGAGTGACTACTATAGCATATGGATTAGATCTCAATTTTTCTTTTTTTTTAAATTTATTTAATGAGCATAAATTTCCAAAGTACAGCTTATGGACCACAATAGCCTCCCCCCCCCCCCGTGTCTTCCCTCCCATCCACAACGCTCCCCTCTCCCACTCCCTCTCCCCTTCCCCTTCACATCACGATTAATTTTCAATTATCTTTATATACAGAAGATCAATTTAGCATATGTTAAGTAAAGATTACCACATTTTGCTCCCACACAGAAACATAAAGTGTAAAATACTATTTGAGTACTAGTTATAGCATTGATTAAACACCTAAGAGTAATTGTGTATTAATTACAGAGCTCAACCAATAGTTTTAAGTAGAATATAAAATGCATCTTTTGTATTGTTGTGGCTTCCCCCCAATCTCCCTCCCGTGGCCCTCCCCTTACCCACTTCCTCTCCCATCCCGCCCTTCATCACGTTTCATTTTCGGTTACCTTCATATACCGAAGATCAATTTAGTATATACTAAGCAGGGATTTCAACAGGTTGCACTCACACAACCGAACCAGCTATAGGGTATTGTTCGACTAGTAGTGTTGTTTTTGAGTTTCATAGATAAACATATTAAGGACAGAGATCCTGCGTGGGGAGCATGAACCCAGTGACTCCCGTTGTTGATTTAACAATTGGCACTCTTATTTATGACGTCAGCAATCACCCGAGACTCTTGCTATGAGCTGTCTAGGCTATGGAAGCCCCTTGAGTTCACCAACTCTGAATTTGTTTAGTCAAGGCCATATCACAGTGGAGGTTCCTTCCTCCCTTCAGAGTAGATCTCAATTTTTCAAAGAAGCAAAAAGCAACTTTCGACTTGATCTCATTTTTTTTATTTTTACAGGCAGAGTGGACAGTGAGAGAGAGAGACAGAGAGAAAGGTCTTCCGTTGCCGTTGGTTCACCCTCCAATGGCCGCCGCGCTGCGGCCGGTGCACTGTGCTGATCTGAAAGCAGGAGCCAGGTGCTTCTCCTGGTCTCCCATGGGGTGCAGGGCCCAAGCACTTGGGCCATCCTCCACTGCACTCCCTGGCCACAGCAGAGAGCTGGACTGGAAGGGGGGCAACAGGGACAGAATCCAGCGCCCCGACCAGGACTAGAACCTGGTGTGCCGGCGCCGCTAGTTGGAGGATTAGCCTATTGAGCTGCGGCGCCGGCTGATCTCATTTTTTAACAGCACTCAAGGGTACCCAGGGGAGTGCTGGGTATGACTGTACCTTCAGTCTCCAGGTTACCATAGGCCAGAGTGAAGAGGAACCACAGACTCTGTGGGTGCTGTCCCTGCTTCCCATCGTCCCCTCCACCACCCTCGCAGGTGCAACCCGGCCAGCACTGGCTTCCTGGGGGCTGCTCTCAGCAGACCCTGCATTTCCCCTTACCTGGGAGTCCCAGCGCCGCCTGCACGGCCAATCCCCATGCCAAGCTCACACCTCATCCTCATCCTGTTTCAGCTTCCTCACTGCACTTACCAGCTCTTATGCATCCATTTCTGATGAACTTGGAGGAAAAGCTTAGACACAAATTTGCACTGTATATTATTTAGAAGATGATGTTTTGTGTTTCCAAATGTGTTTTTTCTCTCATAAAAAGATTTCCTCTGCCATTTAAATATATACCTAATCATTGAGAAATCTTTGCACAAATGGTATTTTATTAAAGGCATCTCTTTACAAATTTTGTACATTTCAGGAAAAACATTCTGGCATCATAAACATACACATTTCAATATGCAAAATTCAAAAGTACAATAATAAACACAGAAACTTATTTTTGTACTAGTTGGTTATTACTGCACTACCTTGAATGCTTTATCCAGAGTCCAGAAAATGCAGATAAACCCTAAAAATGTAGCAGAAGCATTTCCGCACACTGCCATCCATAATCTAGTCTGTGCAGAAATGTTTCCACCAGATTCATAGAGTAATCTTGGGAAGAAAGAGGCGAAGAGTGGTCATTTGGTCGCCTTTCGGACCTTCTGCAACTCTTCAATGGGTTTCCATTGTTGGTTGATTGTCACAAGCTTTAAGAAAATGGAAATAAAAATAGTAAGGATGTGCCCTTCTTCCTCACACCCCCTTTGGGATTTGTCCATGTTCCATTTAGGAAAAAAAAATCACTGTAGTGTTCATAGTAAAACAAAACAAAACAAAAAAATCCAACAGAAAACCCACCTTCCTATCTCTCAAACACAAAACAATGGAAACAGGGACTGGTTTCTATTCTCCAACCCTCTGAAAAGCCTCTGGTTTCCAAAGCGTTAAGGGATCAGACAAAGGTCATACATGGATTCACTGAAAGAGCAGACACTCTACCAAGCCACTGAGGCATGGTTCAAAGATAAAAGCCATCACAGGGGGAAAAAAAAAAGTATCCCCAGAAATGCCTAATAATAAATGCAGCAATTCAAGAAACAAGAATAAGGAAACCAATGAAACATCCCCCAAAGAACACACTTCAGTACTAGAATGTGAAGATGAAGAGACTGACGAAATGCCAGAAACAGAATTCAAAAAATTGATCATAGGATTACTTAGAATAATCAGAAGCAAATTCATGAACTAAAGAAATCTGTACATCACATGAATGAAATTTTTCCCATGAAATTGAAATTTTAAAGAGAAATCAAATGAAATATTAGAAATGAAGAATTCAATAGAACTAAGAAAAAAGATGGTGGAAAGCCTTAAGAACAGACATGGTGAGGCAGAAGAGAGAATATCTGAGTTAGAGGACAAATCTGGAAATTTTATAGCCAGACCAAAAAAAGAAGAAATTAGAAAACTAAAAAACAGTATTGGAGATTTATGGGATACTATCAAATGACCCAACGTACAGGTCTTAGGAGTTCCTGAAGGTGTGGAAAGAAAGAATGGATTAGAAGGCCTTTTTAGTGAAATAATTACAGAAAACTTCTCCAATTTGGAGAAAGTGGCATCCAAGTATAGGAAGCACATAGAACTCCTAATAGACATGACCAGAAAAGATCTTCACCACAACACATTGCAGCCAAACTCTCCACAGTAAAACATAAAGAAAAAAATCTAAAATGTGCATAAGAGAAATTCCAGATTATTTTCAGAGGATCTCCAGTTAGCCTCACAACTAACTTCTCATCAGAAACTCTACAGGCTAGGAGAGAATAGTGAGAAATATTCCAAGTCTTAAGAGAAAAAACTGTCAACCCAGAATACTGTACTCTGCAAAGCTCTCATTTATGAATGAAGGTGAAATAAAAACCTTCCATAACAAACAAATTCAAAGAATTTGTCAGCACCTGTCCAGCCTTACAAAAAATGCTCTACACACAGAAACATGGTCATTACTATGAAGGAAGGTGAAGGCAGAAAATCTCCCAAGAAAAGTACAAAGGAAATCCAAAGTAAACAATAGGAGTATTTATGGAAAAAAGGCAGGGCCAATTCATTACTTATCAATAATCACCTTGAATGTAAATGGCTTCAGCTGCAGTTATAGGATACAGACTGGCTGAATGGATTAAAAAACAAACCCCATCTATTTGTTGCCTACAAGATATTACCAACAAAGATATACACAGAATTAAAGTGAAAGGATGGAAAAAGAGATTCCATGCCAACAGAAACCAAAAAAGAGCTGGTGTAGCCATCCAAATATCAGGCAAAATGGACTTTAACACAAAAACTGTTAAGAGACAAAGAGGGGCACTATGTAATGATTAAGGGATCAATTCAACAGGAAGATATGACTATTGTAAACGTATATACACCTAATAACAGGGCACCTGGCTATTTCAAAGAAATGTTAATGGATCTAAAGGGAGATAAAGACTCTGATACAACAGTCATAGGGGACTTCAATACTCTACTTTCAGCAGAGGACAGATCAACCAGATAGAAAACAGGCAGGGAAACAACAGAGTTAATCAACACTATAGACCAAATGGATATCTACAGAACTTTTCATACATTCTTCAAGCAGTGCACAGAACTTTCTCCAGGATAGACCACAGGCTAGGCCATAAAGCAAGTCTTAGCAAAAAAAAAAAAAAAAAAAAAAAAAAAAAAAAAAAAAAAAAAAAAAAAAAAAAATCTAAATCATATCTGATTGCAATGAATGAAGCTGGAAATCAACAACTCAAGAATCTCTATAATGTATATAAACACATGGAGACTGAACAACATGTTCCTGAATGAGCAGTGGATCATGAAGAAATCAAAAGAGAAATAAAAAAACTTCTGGAAATGAACAAAAACAATACAACATTTCAAAACTTATAGGATATAGCAAAAGCAGTGTTAAGAGGGAAGTTAATAGCAAGTGGTACATAATCAAGAAATTAGAAAGGCACTAAATAAATGAGCTATCAATGCATCTCCAGGACCTAGAAAAATAACAGCAAACTAAACCCGAAACTAGTAGGAGAAAAGAAATAGAGAATAAACAAAATTGAAACAAAAAACAATATAAAAGATCAGCAAAATGAAGAGCTGTTTTTTTGAAAAAATAAACAAAATTGAAAAAAAAAAAAAAAAAGGTCATACACATTTGCCTGGCTCTCACTCAGCAGTAACCTGGGCTTTATATTTTGCCAAGCTATTATGTGAGCCCTACATCCAAAAAGAGTGTCTACCCCTTGGGAGTGGATGGACACAGGCTCCTGGCACAGAGGAGACTCAGTAAGAGTTCCTCATTGCAAGTGCTCAGTGAAGTCACAAGTGGTCTAAGTTACGTGGTAAAGGAAAAGCAGAGAGCTGTGGCCAGTTCTGGATTCCCAAAGAACTCATATTCAGAGATGCCCTTTTATCCACACAAGTTTTCTACCGCCCCAGGACCTGGGAGCTGGGGGTAGTGTTCAGGATCCTAAGGACCTTCCAGTGGTGAGAGGCTTCTCTGTGAGTTTGTGTTAACAGAAACACAAGACTTTCCCGACAGATCTAAAGAAGTTCAGTGTTTCTAACTTGCCAAACATGTCCAACGCAAACAACTAACCTCTGCAGGAGTCTCACAAGAATGAGTGCATTAGGAGTTCATCTCCCTTCAAGAGCATGCCACTCCTGTGTTCAGGAGCTCCTGCTGTGTACCACCTTAACTTCAGCTAAGCAAGGGATAACGAGATACCAAATTCTGGCAATGACCAGCAGGTGTGCTTGAGTGTTTGCTGAGGGCCAGGCACTGTGCTAAGGGCTCTGTGTACTTTCTTTTCCTTTTAACTCAAAGGTCGAGCTCTACTCTGGTGCCCATTATCGATTCTCAAAGCCTCAGAGAGGCCAGACTGTCTAAAATCACCCGTGAATAACAGAGCAAGGACTGCCAACTAAACTTCCGAAGCTCTAACACCACACCAGCTGGGACTCTCTCCAAGTGTAAGGTGCTGAGCTTTGGGCTAAATGCTAACTGCGTGTTTTAAATTTAGCAATACCTTCTGAGGTACATTTGGATCCACAGTCTCCCAGGGTTCCGGATTTCTTTTTCGATCAACACTACAATGAAAAGAAAGTGAACTGAGCATTGGTGAACTTGAACCAACACTGGCACTGGGTCTTTAACTCCTGGAGAAACAGACCAGTCTTAACACTGAGGCATTCATCCCTAAGTTACCTATCCAGACGCATCAGCAGATGCTGAAATTGACAGAGGAGTCTCAGACGGAGTTTCACAGTCTGCCGCAAACATTAAAAATGAATTCCTCTGCCGAATAAGCGGTCTGTAGTCTTCTACGCAAGCAGAGTGGAGAACTCTCCCACAAACTAAGTGACATTGGGGTGGACCTGCCAGGCTCAGGACAGCCAGCGACGCTCTTTCCCCCGGGGGTCTGGAGGAGCAGGGGCCTGGGCTTGAGTCAGCACAGCTAATTCCGCTCCAGGGCGGGGCACTCTGCCCCTTACAGCCTGCTCCAGCTGCACTGACCTGGGTCAGTTTTAAGTTTCTCTCTTCCTCATATTCAGGGCATGTGATTCTTCACCTTCCTGTATCCAAAGTATATTCTATATTGTACATTTGACCTTCCCAGATCCAAAGCATAGTACATATTTAGATTCTATCTTCTCATGTCTAAAGTTCAAGAGTAGGTTCCTTGTAGATGACTGAATCTACTGATTTGACCACACTGGGACAGACCTAATAAGTTAAAATGTTAAAGCTTAATTAAAATTATGAGTTGTTTTATATATGTGTATCTATATCTATATCTATATCTATATCTATCCCCAAAACACATTTCAAAACTTCAAAAGAAATCAAGCTGTATTTTATGGCAGGAGAGGGGAGCAGGGCCCACGGATGAAAAAAGGAACAAACTAATCTCAATAGTCTCTGCAATTTCTTCTGATGCCAGGGTGCTTTTGAGTGCTGACTCCAAGTTCACAGTCTGAATTCTTAGTCATGGGGGGCGAAAAACCAAGGAAACTGGTGCCATTTCAGAAACTAAAGAGCACCCGAACACCACCACCGTGTATCCAGGAGGCCTACTCACATCACGTCGGTTTTCTTGAAGGAATACAGGGCGAACGCTGAGGCTCCACTCGCCGCAAAGGTCATGATGGCCACTAAAGGAATAAGCTGACAGACAACGGGGGGGAGGAAAACGTTCAGATGCCTTGTGGGAAACTTCTGGAACATTACAGAAGAGCTATATCTACAATCTCACATTCTCTTCAAAATGGGCACCATCTTCTCCTCTTTTAAAATTAACACTTTCAGGCAAGATTTTTGATTGCTTCTAAAACTTACTTCCTTCTTTTTCATCAGGAGTTGGAAAAAGCCCATGATGACTTCCGTGTAGGATGCAGAATCTAGAATTTAAAAAAGAAAAAAAAAAATCCAAGCTATTGATCAACACTTCGGCCTCCAGGACCCACCCTGGCGGGCACCCACCCACCCACATGCTCCAAAGCCAACGCGACTCACCTGGCGGGAGGGCGGGGCGGGGCGGCGCGCGCAGGAGCCCAACGCCAAAACCCAGTCTGCCCTCGGCCGCCTCATCTTATATACGGACCTCAACCGCCGCGGAAGGGCCGGGCCGCGGCGTTCTGGTCACGCGGAGCGGGAAGCACCGCGTGCGGCACCTCGACTCGCCTTCGCCGCTCCGCGCGGGCGCTCCCTGCAGGACACCGGGCGGGCAGACGTGGCGCGGCGGATCGCGGGCGCCCCCTGCCGCTCGCCGTGTTCTTAACCTGTCGCCGTGGGTCGCTCTGGCGCCTGCCCGGAGTCCTAGCGAGGTTCGGGTGTGGGAGGTGGAGACTAAAATCTAGGGGCGTGCTGAAGGCCAAGTCTAGAGAAGATCAGCCCTTTATAAAGGGGTCCTGGGAAAAAGATGCAGAAACAGGGGGTCCCGGGGGTCCTAGTGTTGACTCTCCACCCTGGGTGGAGCCGAGGGAAGCTCCCAGGTGCACTCGGGCAAATCGGGATTAATCTAATCACAGGTGGTGCAACTGAATTGTAGTTTCTTTCGGAATAACTCCCAGGGTTCCTGATTTTTTTCCCATTAAAACAACAGCAAAACGAGGGTTGAAGGAAAAGGAAGAGCTGGAAAGCTTTCCAAGAGAGGATCTGTTTCTGCAAAGGACCGCGTCTGCTGGCTTCGTCTTTGGGGCCTCTCCTAACGCTCCCCTAAGCCAGCAGCCTTTCCTCACGGAGTCCGCCTCGGAATAATGACTCAAATTCCACTAAGCTGGGGGCTGGGAGCCACGCACCGAGCCGGATTCTTCTCAACATTCCTGCACGCTGGGCGCGTTTGCAGACCTGGGGATGCTGGGGTCTAGCAGCGGCTAAGTGGCGAGGTGCAACCGACACCACCGCTCTTCCGCACCCCGCTCTTAGCGCCTGTGACTAAGTCCGGAGCAGAAGCCCGGGGCCTGAAAAGCACTTTGCAGGTAACGTCCCTTAACGATCTCCGGGAATGGCCAGACTGGGATCTGTCTCCACCCCGCTGTAGCTGCAGCGCTGAGCTTTGCAAGGCAAGTGGATCCCAGTCCAAAGTCGTCCACCGCCACCCTCAGTGGCTGACGTTAGGAAAACCCCCTTAACCTTTATGAGTCTCAGTTTGTTATGTCTGAAAAATGGGGATAAACCTAACTCGAGAAAGAATTGGAAAAAGAAGTTAGAGTGTTTTTAAGAATATGGCGTTCTGCCCAGCCTGGAGTGGGCATTCAATGCAGATTTGTTTTGTGTGAGGCAGATCATAAATGTAGTTTCTCACCATCTTCTTGTGCTTGGGGGGGGGGTTCATACTGGGTAAGCGCATAGCTGTAAGTGGTGACAAGGGCTGGTTGGCTAGATCCACATCAGCTGCTTAGAAGAAAATCCAACATGAAATCTTCCTGTGTTGTGTAACAGAGAATCAGAGGAGCCTTATAATGCACTTTCTGCAAGATTCTTTTTTTTTTTAAGATTTATTTATTTATTTGAAAGACAGAGTTAGAGAGAGGAGAGGCAGAGAGAGAGAGAGGTCTTCCATCCGATGGTTCACTCTCCAGATGGCCTCAATGGCCGGAGCTGCGCCAATCCAAAGCCAGGAGCCGGGAGCCTCTTCTGGGTCTCCCAAGCGGGTGCAGGGGCCCAAGGACTTGGGTCATCCTCCACTGCCTTCCCATAGCAGAGAGCTGGATGGGAAGAGGAGCAGCCAGGACTAGAACTGGCGCCTATATGGGACAGGCCAGGGTGTTAACCCACTGAGCCACAGCGCTGGCCCCATCTGCAAGATTCTTTTAAGGCTGTTTTCATCAGGTGATTAATAAGTCTCATTTGGTTAACAATGTTAAGTTTTTTCTGGGAAGGAAGGAAGAGTGGGAAAAGAAAGGGGAGAGGAAGAAAGAAAAGGAGGAAGTGAGGGAGTAAGAAATCCTGCAGAAATGCATCCTGCCTCCCAGACTGACATGAGTAGCCCTGCCTAGCAGCGACCCGGGAGCCCTATTTTGCCAAATCACTTCTTTCCACTATGTGGTATTCTGTAGTAGCACAGATGTTGTTGCGGTGGTAGAATTAAATACATGAGTTCCTCATTTCACAGAGCTTACTATTCAGCACTCACAAATAACCCAGGGCATGAACTGGTGTCAGTCAGGTGATGGCTTCTGACTCACAGAAAGCTTAATAAACGTAGGGGCACTTATTTGGCCTTGCAAACAGACCAATCAAAGACACGTTGGGAAAACTGGGGAAACTTGAAAAGAGCCCAGGCATATGGTAACAGTAAAAGGAAACCTGGGGCCAGTGCTGCAGTGCAGCAGGTAAAGCTGCTGCCTACAAGGCCAGCATCCCATACAGACACCAGTTCAAGTCCCTGCTGCTCCATTTCTGATCCAGCTCCCTGATAATGTGCCTGGGAAAGCAGTGGAAGATGGTCCAGGTGTTTGGCCCCTGCCACCCATGTGGGAGACTTGGAAGAAGCCCATGGTTTTGGCCTGGCCTCGAGAATGAACCAGCGGATGGAAGGCCTCTCCCTCTCTCAGTATCTCTGACTTTTAAATGAATAAATAAGTCTTTACAGAGAGAGAGAGAGAAAGTGAGAGACTCTGCTACACATTGCTAGCCCGGAAAAAGCAACAAACTCCAAATTACAAATTCAAAGTAGGTGTCCATTGAATGCAAGCCAAACTGTGTTAAATCAGGCACCATCTGTGTGGCTTATTTTGTTAGGTATGATATGGCATTATGGTTCTATAAAAATTGTCGGCCCTTTTGAAGTGATTTATATATGAAAATACATAAGTGTATAAATATCATGATGTCCAAGATTCACTTTAAAATATTTTAAGTAAAAGATAAATTAGCAGCTCATGTCAATAGCCTCAGGTGGTCACTGATGTCATACATGGGAGTGTTAATTGTTAAATTTATAACAGGAGTCACTGTGCTCTAACTTCCATGCAGGACCTTTGTCCTCCAAGAGTTGTATTATAATTATGTCTAAGTGCTTACAAAAGATGTATCATTTTGGGTGCTTCTTTAAAGTTAATTTTCTAAAAAAAATTGAAATTAACTTCAAGATGCAATGACTTTGAACAGTCCTTGTCTCAACTGTTGAGGTAGTTTTTTTGTGTGTGTGCAAATTATTGAATTGTTTACTTAGTATAGAGTTGGTCTTCTTTGCATAAATTTAATCAAAATGAATCTTAGTGGAGAATGGGACTGGGAATGGGAGAGGGAGGAGGGGGAGGGGTGGGAGTAGGAGTAGGAGGGCAGGTATGGTGGGAAGAATCACTATATTCCTAAAGTTATACTTATGAAATGCATGAATTTGTATTCCTTAAGTAAAAGGTTTCTTTGGGGGAAAAATAAAGACAAATTAAGCAAAGTTACCAAATTAATTGTAGATGATAGACATGTGGGGGGGTGTTACTCTATTTTTATGTATGGTTGGAAATGTTCAGTTTCATTTTTAAAATGTACAAGAGTAAGTGGTTACAGTTTCCCCATATAACCTTCAAATCTGCTTGTTTTTATTTGCAGCGGTGAGAATAAAATCCAAAAAGCCACATTTTCACCCCTTTCATGAATGCCCAAGAGTACTGAGCTTTTAGGAGCTACACAGTCAGCATGTAGCTTGGCTTCCCCTCGACTTAAAGAATCACAACACAGCTTTGGGTGGCTCATTATATTTTACAATTAATCAAATATACATTTAAGGCAAATGCAACAATTTTGAATTTTAAATTATGTATTCCATAAATACTATTGCAAAAAACAGGAATATAACTAAAAAAAAACTTCATATATTTTTTTCCTTTGTCTGAGCTCCCTGTAGGCAAAACAACCAAGAAAAGAATTTTCCATCTTCCAGTTCCCTATATCCTGCCCCAAAATGTACTGGAGTTGAGAGCCTCACCCAGGGCAGATGAAATCAGGGTCCTCCTTGCACCCACGCTCTGCGTGCTGGCCAGGCCAGTGCCGCCTGGATGACCAGGACAAGCAGCAGACAGTTCCCACTCCTTCGTACCCTGGCAGCCCCCAAATAGGTCCACTCACTGGCATCATGCTCTGTACCTGCTCCAAAGTCCACAATCCCCCGTGGGAGTGGCTTCCCCTTCTGACCTCCAATAGTCAGAAATCCTAGAGCCTCTCTAGCTACTACCACAGGTGTGCAGGCACATGGAGCCACAGCTCCTTAGTTCCTACCCCAGAAAATTAGATTTTTAAAAAGAAGACTTATTTAGGGGTCATTGTGGCACAACGGGTTAAGCCACTGCCTGTGATGCTGGCATCCCCTGTGAGCTCTCGTTCGAGTTCCAGCCGCCCCACTTCTAGCTCCCCATTAATGCATTCAAGGAAACCTGAGTGGAGTTCCTGGCTCCTGGCTTCAGCTTTGGCCCATGGGCCTTTGCATCCATTTGGGGAGTGCCCCAGTGGATGGAAGACCTCGCTAACTCTGGAAAGGTAGTTATCGAACATTTTGAGACACATGTTCTTTGTTCTCAGGAGGCTTCCAAAGTTCCGTTGACAAGCTAGAATTATGACTTAGAAAGACATTTTCAAATATACTCAGTCTTAAACCAACGTGTGGTGCTAAATTTCCAGCCTGACCACTAGAAAAGAATGAGGGCCCACAGCCAGGTGTCTGAGTAGGGTTCCAGCCAGAGTTTAACAGCTCTATGATGAAAAAGACTTAACAGATCAATAACTAATAGGATTGCAGGCGCCGCGGCTCAATAGGCTAATCTTCCACCTAGCGGCGCCGGCACACGGGGTTCTAGTCCCGGTCGGGGCGCCGGATTCTGTCCCGGTTGCCCCTCTTCCAGGCCAGCTCTCTGCTGTGGCCAGGGAGTGCAGTGGAGGATGGCCCAAGTGCTTGGGCCCTGCACCCCATGGGAGACCAGGAGAAGCACCTGGCTCCTGCCTTCGGATAGGCGCAGTGCGCTGGCCGCAGAGCACCAGCCGCGGCGGCCATTGGAGGGTGAACCAACGGCAAAGGAAGACCTTTCTCTCACTGTCCACTCTGCCTGTAAAAAAAACAAAAACAAAAACTAATAGGATTAATAACCAGCAGAGTTGTCAGAATTCTTAAGTCTTCTATTTTCCTATTACTCAAGAGGATATTTTTAATTGTATTTTATCTCTATAAATCAGACAAGTCATTCCCTTAATTATTCCTGGTGGTCCTGGCTCCAGTCAGAAATAGGAAACTTTCCAGTAACTGCTTAACATTTATGTCTTCATGTATTTATTTCACCACTGTGTTGTCATCATACCCTAAACTTCTGGAAGCTTTTCTGGCCAGTGTGGTCCATTTATTGGAGAACGTGTCTGATTGATGTCAGGTGGTCTGTCAGTCCCAGCTGTCTCATTCACTGCACATCTCAGCACCCAGAGCAGCACCCTGAGTGAAAGATGGCCTGGTAAGAGGTGTACCTGATACTGGTAGGTAAGAGAAGCATGAAAGAGCTATCCCGTATCTTTTTCTTCAGGCATGATGGATGGAAGGTTAAATACCCAGGGGTTTTCTCTTATCTGTATTTTCTAGTAATCTGCTTTAAATTTTAAAGAAGGAAAATGAAAATATACATGAGGGTTCTTCCAAAAGTTCATGGAAAAGTTTTACTGCACAAATAATTTTGAAATCCAGTCTTCAAAAGGCTCATTGAAAATGTGTATTTAAAAAAAGTGTGGCTTTCAAAGTCTGTTTTGAAGTACCTTTTATGATCTAAAGGAAAAATAGTAGTTACAGAGAAACCAGGTGATGCTATAAAACCACATCACCAGGGACAGGCACTGGGATGCAGCAGGATAAGCTGCCATTTGGGACATCTGCACCCCCTATTGAGTGCCAGCTGCAATCCTAACTGCTTCATTCCGAGCCAGCTCTCTGCTAACTTGCCTGGGAGGTCACTCACATGAGACCCTTTAGCTCCTGGCTCCTGTCTTTGACCTGGTCCTGCCTTGGCAGTTGCAGAACCGCACATGGATGATCTCTATCACTCTCTTTTCAAGTAATTCATTTTTAAGAAAAATTCACCAACAACATGCAGGTATTACATACCTCCAGCTGTGATACAGGACACACCATGTATGTAGTCAGTGCATTAGGAATCACTTTTTTTTTTTTTTTAAAGATTTGTTTACTTATTTGAAAGTCAGAGTTACACAGAGAGAGGAGGAGAGGCAGAGAGAGAGAGAGAGAAAGAGAGAGAGATGTTTTCCATCTGATGGTTCACTCCCCAATTGGCCACAACAGCCACAGCTGTGCAAATCCAAAAGCAGGAACCAGGAGCTTCTTCTGAGTCTCCCACATGAATGCAGGGACCCAAGGACTTGGGCCATCTTCTACTGCTTTCCCAGTCCATAGCAGAGAGCTTGATCAGAAGTGGAGTGCCCGGGACTTGAACCGGCACCCATATGGGAAGCAGGCGCTTCCAGCCAGGGTGTTAATCGCTGCGCCACAGCACCAGCCCCAGGAACCACACTTTTTTTTTTTTAATAATTTGTCTATAATCTTCAAAAATAGCTTCCAACTGCTAAATGTAGTGTGGGATCCTAAACTATATCCCATAACAGGGAAAATACTGCACGAGACATTGGGACAATGCATGAAATTCACTGGATGGTAGACTGAAATACTGTATCAATGTAACATTTCCTGTAGTGTGGTGATATAAGGACATAACTTTATTTGTAAGAAATACAGGGGCCTGCACTGTGGCGTAGCGGGTAAAGCTGCCACCTGCAGTGCCTGCATCCCATATTTGGCGCTGGTTCAAGACCTATCTGCTCCATTTCTGATCCAGCTGTCTGCTATGGCCTGGGAGAGCAGTGGACGGCGTAGCGGGTAAAGCTGCCACCTGCAGTGCCTGCATCCCATATTTGGCGCTGGTTCAAGACCTATCTGCTCCATTTCTGATCCAGCTGTCTGCTATGGCCTGGGAGAGCAGTGGACAATGGCCCAAGTCCTTGGGCCCCTGCACCCACATGGGAGACCTGGAAGAAGCTCCTAGCTCTTGGCTTCAGATCAGCCCAGCTCTTGACATTGTGGCCATCTGGGGAGTGAACCAGTGGATGGAAGACCTCTCTCTCTCTTACTCTCTAACTTTCAAATAAATAAATTAAAAAAAAATACATACTTAAGTAGTAAGGGAAAAAAGGGGCATAAAGTATATAATCTGTTTCACATCATTTAGAAAAGTGTGTATATGTGTGCCTAGATACAAAAAGGAGAGAAAGCCCACAAATATAGCAAAAACGTTAAAGACCAATGAATCTGGGTTAGACTATATAAGAGTTCTTGGTACTGTTCTTGTAATTTTTCTGAAAGAATGAAATTATTTCAAAGCTAAAGAAAGGAGCCGGAGCCGCGGCTCACTAGGCTAATCCTCCGCCTTGCGGCGCCGGCACACCAGGTTCTAGTCCCGGTCGGGGTGCCGGATTCTGTCCTGGTTGCCCCTCTTCCAGGCCAGCTCTCTGCTGTGGCCAGGGTGTGCAGTGGAGGATGGCCCAAATACTTGGGCCCTGCACCCCATGGGAGACCAGGAGAAGCACCTGGCTCCTGCCTTAGGATCAGCGTGGTGCGCCAGCCACGGCGTGCCGGCCGCGGCGGCCATTGGAGGGTGAACCAACAGCAAAGGAAGACCTTTCTCTCTGTCTCTCTATCTACTCTGCCTGTCAAAAAAAAAAGAAAGAAAAAAAGAAAAGAAAGGAATCAGCCAAAACCAGCTATCCTTATGACAAAATCAATACACACACTTCTCAATTACATATTTTAATAACATATGCCTTTTTTTAAGGGTGTCTTTAAAAGCTTTATTTTTTTTTAACTTTTATTTGAACATATGCCTTTTAGAAATAAGATGACCCTTAGCTTATCAGGTTCAAGTTCTCCTTATTTAAAGGACACACACACACATACACACACACTCTGAAAGTGTGACGTTGCAAACTGTAGGCAAAGTCCCATTTCAGTTCATGTAAACAACCCAACAGGGGTGTAAAGTGATTTTTACGTATCTTCTAAATTAGCAAATCTTTCTTTCTTAAATAAGTTTTCATATAAAGTCAAGTCCTCGCGACTTAAAGATGGTTTTACAGTCTTTAGTGATTTTAGAAAATGCTCCTGTTTCACCGTGGTTGCTTCCAGTCCATCTTCTTGCAGAGCAAGCAAGGCAGCCTAGGAGGGACAAGCAATAAGACAACATTTAATTGGCTTCATATTTTTTTTAAGGTAACATGGCCATACTATAAAATTTGAATCCAAAATCTCAGTTTCATTTTTAGGATTCCAATATTTATGTCACTAAAAACATTAAGCTAACAAATTTAAAATGATTAAAAATACATGTAGCATAGACTGTAATTTCTTCTCCATTTAAACTTTAGCCTTAAATGGGAAAAGAGCCAAGTTGCAGAATAATAAATATACTACAAGTCCATATATATTTTTGAAAATGAGACCATATCTTCTTGGTCTTGGAGTAGTAAGAGTTTCTAAACAGCACTGATCATAAATTTAAGGAAAAAGATCAAACACATATTCTAGGACTTTGCCATTCTCATAGCTATGAAATAGATATAAATACACATGTGCATCTAGAGACATGTAATAAAGGAGAAATCCAAATGCTCAAAAGGAAAACAATGAATAAATATAAATAAAATGCAGAGTAATGGGACCCGTGCTGTGGCACAGTGGTTAAAGTGGCTGCCTGCAGTGCCAGGATCCCATATGGGTGCTGGTTTGAGTCCTGGCAGCTCCACTTCTGATCCAGCTCTCTGCTATGGCCTGGGAAAGCAGTGGAGGATGGCCCACATTCTTGGGCCCCTGCATCCACATGGGAGACCCGGAAGAAGCTCCTGGCTCTTGGCTTTGGATTGGCGCAGCTGCGGCCGTTGCAGCCAATGGGGAATGAACCAACAGATGGAAGACCTCTCTTTTTCTCTCTCTGCCTCTCCTCTCTCTGGGTAACTCTGACTTTCAAATAAATAAATAAGTCTTTAAAAAAATAAATGCAGAGTATTAATATACTAGAATATTATAAAGCAGTAGAGAAAACTATGGCTACATACAAAATCATGGATGAATTTCAAAAACACAGTCTTGAGTTAAAGGAGCAGACAGAAATAACATGCACCGTCTAGTGTCATCTGTGTGCAGATCAAAGGCAGGCGACACTGATCTCCAGTGCTGGAGACCGGGACAGCAGACCACTTCTGCGAGCAGGCAGGTGACAGATGAACGGAGAACAAAGGAACGTTCAGGGAACTGACAGTGTTCAGTTGGTGGTTAGAATAAAAGTGTGTTCGCTTTATGTCAATAACTATATCCTTTTGATCTGTGCTTTATAAAATGTTATATTTAGGGGCCGGTGTTGTGGCGTAGCGGGTAAAGCTGACGCCTGCCATGCCAGCATCATATATGGGCACTGGTTCAAGTCCCACTTCTGATCTAGCTCCCTGCTAATGCACCTGGGAAAGCAGCAGAGGATGGTCCAAGTCTTTGGGCCCCTGCACCAGCATGGGAGATCTGGAAGAAGCTCCTAGCTTCAGATCAGCCCAGCTCTGGCTGTTGCAGCCATTTGGGGAGTGAACCATCGGTTGGAAGACCACTCTCTCTCTTTCTCTTTGTAACTCTGCCTTTCAAATAAATAAATAAATCTTTTACAAAAAGTTATATTTAGCCTAAGTTTATGGGAGAAGAAAAGCCTATAATGGTTTCTTTTGCCCTCAAAAATAAAACCTAATTGCTTTCAAGTACTTACAAGGACCTGTGAGATCTGGCCATTGTCTACTTCATCAGCTCCATTTTTTGCCATTCTCCATTCTAAGATTCAAGAGTGTCACATCCTCTCCTACTGCCAACCCTCTGCACACTGTATTCCCTCCCTTAGCTGTTGAACTCCCTAATCATGCTGCTAATTTCCTCACTCAGAAAGCCTTCCCTGGTCCCCAAGTCTGGGCTGGTATTCCTCTAGGTACAGCAGCACCCTAAACTTCCCCAATGCACTACACGGTCACTACTGCCAGTCCAGTATGATGATCTGCCTCTGCACGGCCCCACCTCCAGCCTGTGAGCCCTGTAAGGGAAGGGGCTGCATCTGTGCCTCACATGGCGTGCACCCACCACTTAGAAGTCTCAGAAAACACTGCCAAGTGGATGAATGCAGGAATAGAAGAAGGAATGTTTTCAACTACAGATTTCTTCACCAATTAACTTACTTCTCTGCAGAGGTTTCTCAGGTCAGCTCCAGAGAAAAAACAGGTTTCTGCTGCTAGGTTTTCTAAGGAAACATCAGACCCTATTGGCATACTTTTTGTACAGATTTCTAAAATAGAAAGCCTGCCCTGCAAGAAAATCAAACACAATATGTTTATAACTTTATAGCATTTATGTTTGACACCATAATGTATTAAAACATTTTTACTTTGAGTTTTCTATCATAGTATAGTACAGAGAAAGTACAGATATATATTTGAGATTCCAATTAAAAACATCAATCACTTCTTGCTTCTGAAGGGTAAGAAAGATTAAATCATCCACAGCCTGCATGGCGATAGTAAAAATAATTAATGACATCATGAGAAATTCCAATGCTTTTTTTTTTTTTAAGATTTATTTATTTATTTGAAAGTCACAGTTACAGAGAGAGAGAGAGAGAGAGAGGTCTTCCATCCACTGGTTCACTCCTCAGTTGGCTGCAATGGCCGGAGCTGAGCCAATCCAGCTCAGCAAGGTTTGGCTTGGAGCCAAGAGTAAGGAACCAAGGAATAAGGAGCCAAGAGCCTCTTCTGGGTCTTCCACGCGAGTGCAGGGGCCCAAGGACTTGGGCCATCTTCTATTGCTTTCCCAGGCCAAAGCAGAGAGCTGGATCAGAAGTGGAACAGCCAGGACTCGAACCGGCGCCCATATGGGATGCTGGCACTGCAGGAGGCAGCTTTACCCACTACACCACAGCACTGGCCCCTCCAATACTTTTATAATTTGTGTTTTAAAATAGCCAACAGTAGATATATCTCCTTAAGAGATAAGATGAATCTCTCCTATGGATACAAATAATCCTTTATACATAGTTTAAGAAGCAAATACATAAGTTATCAGATATAGTTTCAAAGTATAATAAACATTTGTTTCATCACTTCAAAACTAACAAAAGCCCAAGGAAGGAAAAAATTCAGGAGCCAGCATAGTGGCAGAGCATTACGCCTCCATTTGTAATGCCAGCATCGCCAGTCAGAGTGCCAGTTCAAGTCCTGGCTACTCTGATTCTGATCCAGCTTCCTGCTAATGGTCCTGGGGAGGCAGTGGTAGATGGTCAAAGTACTTGGGCCCCACCACCATGTGAGAGACCAGGATGGATTTCATGACTCCTGGCTTTGACTTGGCCCAGACCAGGCCACTGTGGCCATCTGGGGAGTGAACCAGTGAATGGAAGATCTGTCTCTCCCTGTGTCACACTCTGTCTTTCAAATAAACAAGTAAATAAACCTTTAGGGTCCAGCATTGTGGTACAGCGGGTTAAAGCTGCTGCTGGGGCTAGCACTGTGCACAGTGGGTTAAAGCCCTAACCCGAAGCGCCAGCATCCTATATAGGCGCCGGTTCTAGTTCCAGCGGCTCCTCTTCCAATCCAGCTCTCTGCTATGGCCTGGGAAAGCAGTAGAAGATGGTCCAAGTCCTTGGGCCCCTGTACCCAAGTGGGAGACTAGGAAGAAGCTCCTGGCTCCTGGCTTTGGATCAGTGCAGCTCCGGCCATTGCGGCCAATTGGAGAGTGAACCAGCAGATGGAAGACCTCTCTCAGTAACTCTTTCAAATAAATAAAATAAATCTAAAAAAAAAAAAAAAAAAAAAGCTGCTGCCTTCCATGTCAGCATGGTATCCCATATGAATACTGGTCAAGTCCCAGCTGCTCTGCTTCTGATCCAACTCCCTGCTAATGTACCTGGGACAGCAGCAGAAGATGGTAAGAGTGCTTAGGCCCCAGCACTTACGTGGGAGACCCAGATGGAGTTTCAGGCTCTTGGCTTCAGCCTCACCCAGACCCAGCTTTGCAGCCATTTAGAGAGTGAATCAGTGGATGAAAGATCCCTTTCTCTCCCTCTCTCTCTGTAACTCAAATAAAAATCCATTCTCTGGGCCTTATCACCCGCTGTGTCTGTGAAGGGCACAGAATGTACTGCCTGCCTAGGAACACCCAGCATATTCTCTGTGACCTCAGGTCTCCCCTCTGGAAGACGAGGATGCTGACGCAGATAATCTCCAGAACCCTGTCAGCTCTCTGACACTTGAGGATTCCTCCATTGCAGCTGCAAAACAACGCGGGGCAGGCTCCACAACCCTGCAATAACCACCCTACTTTTAGGCTTGCTTGTTTCTCTGAGAAGGGCCAGCGTGTCCAGCAAAAGCAGATCAAGAAGATGATTCCACAACGGGCCAGCTGGCAAGGAAGTATGAAACCCACAGCCCGTGTGGAACTCAAGTCTGCCAATGTCCCTGTGGACACCCTGTTAAGAATGCTCACGCAGCGGCCAGTACTGTGGGCAAAGCTGCTGCCTCCAGTGCCGGCATCCCATATGGGTGCCGGTTTGAGACCCGGCTGCTCCACTTCTAATCCAGATCTCTGCTACGGCCTGGAAAAGCAGTGGAAGATGGCCCAAGTCCTTGGACCCCTGCATCTGCATGGGAGACCAGGAGGAAGCTCCTGGCTCCTGGCTTTGGAGCAGCACAGCTCTGGCCTTTGCGGCCTTCTGGGGCCATCTCTTTGCCTCTGCTTCTCTGTAATTCTGCCTCTCAAATAAATAAATTAATTAAAAAAAAATGCTCATGCAGAGTAAACATGTCCATGATTACCTTTTGATCTGGAGGTGGAATATAGATAATCTTATCAAGTCTTCCAGGACGGAGCAAGGCATCATCTAACACATCGGGTCTATTTGTTGCTGCAACAATCATCACATGTCGATTAAAAACTTCTTGAAACTCTAATGGAAAACACAATACAAAGAAATGTCAATAAGTTTATTATATTCTTTTTCTTAATAATGATTTATTTACTTGAAAGGCAGAATTATACATGATGCACACACACACACACACACATATAGAGACAATCTTCTACTTGTTGGTTCACTTCCCAAATGGCTACAATGGCCAGGCTGAAGCCAGGACATTGGAACTCCATCTGGGTCTCCCATATTGGTACAGGGGCCCAAGAACTCAGACTATCTTCCTCTGCTTTCCCAGGCACATTAACCAGGAGCTAGATTGGAAGGGAAGCAGGCAGAAATTGAACCATCACTCACACAGGATACCTGCATTGCAAGTGGAAGTTTAACACACTAAGACATGTCAATACCTCAATTTCTTTTAAAAGTTGTTAAGTCAGAACGTCTGCCCATTTGTTTATAAATAAATAGGGATATCCTTTTCTTGGGACCAGAATTCTTATACCCTCTCTCTATACCAACTCCTCAATATCCAAGTATCCCGGAAACCAAGCAGTAATCCAAGAGCTGTCTGCGAGCATGGTGAAAGGAGCAGCTAATCCTGAGAAACATTTCTCCATGAGAGGACCGTGGACAACCTGACACTACACAGCACACCTCTCAGGGGACCTGAATGTACCTGAGCCTCACAATTTGAGTGCACTAAGTCTAGGACTAACCAGTAGAGACATACATGTAGCCATGAAAAGTGTTAGCTATCCTATCCCTGAAGAGGGAGCTTTACCATCTTTTCCACAGGCAGAAATATGGGTAATTAACCAGTTACAGGTGTGCAAATCCTGGATGGAAATAAGGAATGTCTAAAAGCTAACAGGGCAAGGCATTCAAAGCCATCTGCTGTATAATCAAATCAATCTCTGATGCTGCAATCCTTCATAGTAGTGACTTCCCTATACCTGAAGGGCTTTCAGCAGAGGCAAGGTGAGTCTCTGCTAGAAGTCACTGTAGAAGGACCGCCAGCGTGATGAGATGTGACGAGGTAATTTCTGATTCTAATGGCTATGTTCCATGAAACAATTTTTCAAATGGCTAACAGGTAAGAGAGGAATAAAAGAAAAACTATCTAATTGTCTATCAAGGATAACTGAAGGATACCAAACTCTACATGGAGACTTGGAAAGAGAGGGAAAAGGGTTCCAAAGGTCATTTTAACTCCTTTTATAGCCAAGGAAACCCATTTCTCAATACAATTACTAAGGTTATTGTAATCAATAACCTGTTTTACTTTACGTACAACTTTTTAGAAAGAGATAAACGCAGAAATAATTTCCCTTCTCCATTAGCTGTATTTCTCACACCAAGGAAAGATAAAATTCATATTCATACATATCTAAGGTTACCTCACCTTTCCTAAACAAAGAACATTATCTATCAGCTCTGTGTAAACCCCACAGAGTCAAAGAGAAATTACATTAAGTTCTTCTTCCAGCACAGGAAAAGGAACAGCACATAGGCATTCTACTTAATGTTGGTCTAGGCTTTTTGGGAATATTCTAGCTAATAAATACCTCTTCGTTTTTTTCAGCTCCTTGTATTTACCCTGTTGACTTGATTTACTTCCTCTTCTTTCTATCGTCTTAAGTCCAACACCATCTAATTCATTCAGGAGAACAGAAAGAACTCGCTCTTGAACACTGCATTCTGTTTTGCTGACTGAGCGCGATCCCAAGATGGAATCAATTTCATCCAAAAACACAATTGCTGGAGTATTTGCTCTTGCTTGTCTAAACACCTTTTATTAGGAAAAAGACATGAAGAAGCTTCAGCTATACGTCAGTCAGATGAATGTATGTCCTCTGCGTTGCTATTTGTAATTTCTTAAATGTAAAAAGAAAGACTCTAAATGTTTAAAACTTGGTGAATTAATAAAAATTAATAAAATTATAAAAGTTAATAAAACAACAATGGAGTATCATGTAGTAAACATTTTCCAATAGTATTAGGTATTATGGAATTTCAAAAGTGGCTATTTTAAGTTTAAACAGCAGGATAAAACTATAGATAAATGAGCAATCTTCAAAAAACTTCATGGACAATGCATACTGTAAAAATACTATGCATGGATTTCAGAATATTCTTTGCACCACACTAAATTTATCTTTCAATTCCATTTTCCACAAACTATTTTCTAAATTATCTGTTAACAAGCATACATAACTTCTATAATTGGGAAATAAACTAGTGATTTTTTAAAATAAGCTGATCTATAAGGCATGAAATAAAAAATCAAAAGTAAATCTAAATACACAGAGAAGTAAACAAACCTGGGACAAGATTTTTTCCGAATCTCCAACAAAGGGTGAAAAGAGATCAGCTCCACTCACTGAAACGAAAGAGCAGTGACAGCTGGTGGCCAGGGCCCTCACCAGGGTGGTTTTGGCACAGCCTGGGGGACCATAGAGGAGAACTCCTTTTGGTTGTGTCAGACCCATCCTAATAAACTCCTGAGGGAATTTCAGAGGCCACTCGATGCTCTGTAAGTAGGCAAGGAGAGAAGAGTTGTTTCAATAAGACAATGATTCACAGAATCCATCTGTTCATTCGACAATTCTCAGCCTCTCCTCCACATAGCAGCTGGGTACCTTAGAACCCAAGTCAGGTTACATCATTCCTGCTGAAAACTCTTCATTAACTTCCCTTCACAACCAGAACCAAACCCCAATACATATTCCCTACTCACCACAGTTTAGAGGCTTTATGCAATCTGACTGTCTTCTAAGCTTGTGGCTTGTTCCCATTGCAGGGCCATCACCTGCTTTTCTCCCTCCACCTGAACTTCGCCCCTAAATCTCTGCAGCTGTTCTGCATCACTCAGGCCTCAGTTCAAATGTCATTTTCTCAGGAGGTACTCACAGCACCCTACTTAAAATAGAACCTCCTCTTCCTAGTCACTCTCTATGTCACCACCCTTTTTTTTTTTTTTTTTTTTTGACAGGCAGAGTGGACAGTGAGACAGTGAGACAGAGAGACAGAGAGAAAGGTCTTCCTTTTGCCGTTGGTTCACCCTCCAATGGCCGCTGAGGCCGGCACGCTGCGGCCAGTGCACCACACTGATCTGAAGGCAGGAGCCAGGTGCTTATCCTGGTCTCCCGCGGGGTGCAGGGCCCAAGCACTTGGGCCATCCTCCACTGCACTCCCTGGCCACAGCAGAGAGCTGGCCTGGAAGAGGGGCAACCGGTTAAGAATCCGGCGCCCCGACCGGGACTAGAGGCCGGAGTGCCAGTGCCGCAGGTGGAGGATTAGCCTATTGAGCCGTGGCGCCGGCCACCACCCATCTTATATCTTTTTTTTTTTTCAATTTTTTTAAAGATTTATTTATTTATTTGAAAGTCAGAGTTACACAGAGAGAGGAGAGGCAGAGAGAGGGAGAGGTTCCATCCAAAGGTTCATTCCCCAATTGGCTGCAATGGCCAGAGCTGCGCCGATCCGAAGCCAGAAGCCAGGAGCTTCTTCTGGGTCTCCCACATGGGTGCAGGAGCCCAAGGACTTGGGCCATCTTCTATTGCTTTTCCAGCAGAGAGCTGGATCGGAAGTGGAGCAGCTAGGTCTTAAATCAGCGTCCATATGGGATGCCAGCACTTCAAGCCAGGGCATTAGGCCCCTTTTTCCAAGATCTAAAAAATTTATTTGAGGCTGGCACCGTGGCTCACTTGGCTAATCCTCCGCCTGCGGCACTGGCACCCCAGGTTCTAGTCCCAGTTGGGGCGCCGGATTCTGTCCCGGTTGCTCCTCTTCCAGTCCAGATCTCTGCTGTGGCCTGGGAAGGCAGTGGAGGATGGCCCAAGGTCTTGGGCCCTGTACCCCATGGGAGACCAGGAGGAAGCACCTGGCTCCTGGCTTTGGATCGGCGCAGCATGCCAGCCGTAACGGCCATTTGGGGGGTGTGTCTCTCTCACTGTCTAACTGTGCCTGTCAAAAAAAAAAAAATTTGAAAGAGTTACAGGGTGGGGATGGGGGCGGGGGGACAGAGAGATTTTCCAGCCATTGGCTCACTCCCCAGATGGCTACAACAGCCAGCACTGGGCCAGGCTGAAGCCAGGAACCAGGAGCTTCTTCTGGGTCTCTCATATGGGTACAGGGGCTCAAATATATGGGCCATCTTCCTCTTTTTCCAGGCCATTCACAGGGAACTGGGTTGAAGATAGAGCAGCCAGGATACAAATCAACACCCATACGGGATGTCAGCATTGCAGGCAGCAGCTTTACCCGCTACACCACAACACCAGCCCCCATCTTACACTTTTGGAGCACTTGTTGATTTTCCTATTACTCTTTTTTCCATGTTGGATCTGTCATTCTTCTCTTGCTAAAATGTAAGCAAATTTCAGCACTAAATCTCCTGCATCTAGAATGGTACCAGTCCAAAGTAGGTACTTAGTAAACTTCAACTAACTAGTAAATGAGTCCTCATGACCTCCAACACAAATAGTTTTATTATAATTTTATAAATGCCGAAACTCAGGTATAGAAACATTAAGTGGCTTGCCCAAATCTTTTTGCTGGTGAGATGACAGAAACCAGCTCTACAGAATTTATTTATTACCTCTTCATGAAAAAAGGTTAAGACAAGACCCTGTACCTAGGCTAATCCTATTACAATGAGGGAGAGAGCCTTGTAAACAGCCGGGCCAGAAAACAGCATTCATAGAAGAGAAAGAATACCGATGCATGAGACTGATGTATTCCAATGGTGAGCAGGAACTGTGGCGAGGCTAGAGGAAACAAGGAGCAAGGGAGTTGATGTAGGGGTAGGAGCCAGATCACAACAGCCCTTGAAAGTCTTAGTCAACAGTGAGGAAGCCATGTGGGAAATGGATGGAAAGACAATGAGACCTGAGGTAAGGAATGCACTTAGACATCTCTTACAATTTGTCTCACGCATCTTGTGAAGATTCAATGAGTCAACAAATATATGTTAAACAATCAGGGCACATAACAAATGTTCTTATCCATGGGTTTAAAGATTCCAGGGTTCACTGGAAATAAAGATCATGGTTAAGATGACTAAATTATAATTGATATTTACAAATCAGTCATTTGTGCCTGTCGTTAGAAACCCAGCTCCTTAGGGCAGGAACATAGTAGGTAAACCAGCAAAATCAATTTCTGAAGATGCAGTACAGCTGAGAGGATGTGGCGGGGTGTATACCTCAACACCCACAGAGAAAACCACTACCAGGTGGCTCTCTAGGCCATGCTGCCTGTTCATTACGATGCTGTGCCTCACCAATCCCTGTACTGCCGCCATCACATGTCTTCTAGATCACAGGTCAACGCAACTAAGACCCTGTATCTGTACAGTCCACAAACTAAGAATGGTTTTTAAATGTTTCAGTGCTTGGAAAAAAATCAAAATAACATTTTGTAAAATGTAAGGCTTATGATTTCAGTGTCCATAAATAAAATATTATCAGGATACAATTAATCTCTCAGTATCACCCTCGGAGGACTGGATACCAAAATCCATGGATACTCAAATCGCTTACATAAATTGGTGTAATATTTGTATATAATGTACACATAACTTCCTGTATACTTGAAATCATCTTTAGATTACTTGTAATATCTAATACAATGCTACAAAACCAAATGTGTACTACATAGAAGTATATGTAAAATATAAAAATATATACACACACAGATGCAATTCCTTGCCTTTCCTAAATATTTTTCGTCAGTTGGCTGAATCCAACAACACAGAAGCCACAGCTAAGGAAGGCGGACTCTCAGTTCTGTATTGCCTCAGCTCTCCAAGTACCAATGGCAAAGCTGAATGGCTACAATAGCGAATGTGTGGCCCACAAAGTTTACTTTTACTACCTGGCTCTTTACAGAAAATCTGTTAACCCATTCTAGATTATAAACTCTTAAAAGCAAAAACAAAGAGGGTCGAAGCAGGAAAGTACGAAAAATAGTTCTGATGTCTACAGAAGTCCAGTTACATAAAGAATGAAAAGTGATCGCTGGATTTAGCTGCTGGGATTGTAGTAGTGATGCGGCAAGAGCAGTGTTAGTGCAATTTGCTTTCATCCTAATTGCATCATGTTCATGCACAGAACACGAATGTGTAATATTTTAACAGTTTAAGTCTAAGCAAATCAGCTAAATACCTGTTTTAACTTCAGTTTTACATCTTCAAGGCCACCAATCTGCTCCCAGCCAACAGGCTTGATGTCCATCAGTCCAATGACACTTCGAAATGATGAGGGCTGAATCTTTTTAAAAGCTTCAAGGAAGTCTGCTTCATCAATCACTGGATTGTTCTGGTTCTGAAGAAGTAAAACCAAAAGAGCAAGAACAAACCAAAAATTAGGTCGACCTTTCTGTGACATAAAGCACAACTACTTTTTTAAGATCTTCTTGTCAAATGTCTAGGATATTTCAGTATGCATTATGACAATGTCCTTCTAAAAAGATAAGCAAAGGGAACCCACCATACCTATCAGCTTCATTTTCCTCTTTTCCCTTATCTTAGAATTTTTCCATGTCAACTAATATAATTCCACATCACTTACTTTGACAACTGCCTGACACACTTCTGTATAAATGTTCCATAATTAAACTACCTTTTTCTGACAAACATTACATTATTTCCAGTCTTTTGTTATTTAACATACTAAACACAAAACTAACTCAAAGCTCTTGTGCTCACATGCAAGTATTTTCTATAACCATGTCCTCAAAGTAGAATTACCAGGCTCAGGAGTACACATACTCACAATTCGGACAGCTATTGCCAGCAGTCCTCAAAGAAGTTGCATCAATTTACTCTCCTCCAATAATACAAAGTTGCTGTCTCCCCACAAATCACCAAACTTCCACATTTCTGCCAATGTGACAGGAAGAAATGATCCTCATTACTGTGTTAATTACATTTCTTCAGTTCAGACTCAGATGGAGGGAATGAAGAAATAAGAGAAACACCTGTTGTGGCCATCCCTGTAAAGGCTGTTTTGGGCAAGATTTGGATGGTATATCTAGAGGAATGAAGTTTGGTGAGAACCAGGATATTTGTAGTCTCCCAGTGCCTCCTCACGGATTCCTTACAAGTGGCAGAGGGAAGAGCTGTAGTTACACAGTAGAAAAACTGGACACTGCCTTAAGTGGGTTGACCAAAATGAGCATCAATGAGGAGCTGATGGACATCTTGTGTCCCCACATGTGATAATCTAATGACACAATATGGGTTATGGAGTATTCTCAACAGGGATGTGTAACTGGAATCTGACCATTCTATAAAATAACTGGCCTGCCTGCATTAATTATATCAATGTCAAATGTCTCACACAAAAAAGTTCAAATTTTTAAAAACATTCAAAACTAAATGTATCCACATATACTCACAGAGACAGAAAGAGGGAGAGAAATGAGGAAGATGAATGTTATTTGGCAAAATGTTAAAAAATCAGTGAATTTGCATAATTTCCTGCAATTAATTTGTAATTCTCTCATAAGTTTTAAATTATTTCAAAATCAAAAGTTAAACACTGGAAGAATAATTTTTAAAGGAATTAAGGTTGAAGACCTTTTGTATTTACTGGCATTCCTTTTATCAGCAAATACCTGTTCTCTTGTATCTTTTCTGATTTAAGAGTTCTTCCAATATCAAGGAAACTGAGCTAAAGCACTTTCTTACTCTTGTCTCTGTTTATAGCATGGTTTTGCCATCCTCAAATGGTCAACTAAACAAATCATTTCCTTTCAGGATATCAGATTTTATGTTATGCATAGACAGGTCACCCTCAGGGTCAGTGTAGCAAAGCAGGTTAAGCTGCAGCCTGCGATGTTGGCATCCCATATGGGCAGGCTGCTCCACTTCTAATCTGACTCCCTGCCAATGGCTGGGAAAAGCAGCGGAGAGCAGACCTGCAACCCATGTGAGAGACCCAGAAAAAGCCCCTGGTTTTGGCCTGGCTCAGCCATATCTGTTGTGGCCATTTGGGGAATGAACCAGTGGATGGCAGATCTCCCTCTCTATATGTAACTCTACCTTTCAAATAAATAAAGAGATCTAAAGAAAAACAGGAAAAAAAAAGGTCATCTTCACTCTAACATTATACTATCATCATTCTAGTGAGGCAAATTTTTTTGTTAGTTAAAAAGTCCTTACATTTTTATTTAAAGTATCTGTATTATATTTATTAAATTACTTTCCCTTTCATATATAAAATTCTCAAGCTATAACTGTCCACAAATTCAGTAACAAGCTATCTTACCCTATTTATGTGAGATTAGTATGTGAATACACTCATACATGTATTCAGCTATTCTGAACACGCTAACTATTATAATCTGGGAGGTGCAGTTTCAGGCAATGTTTATTTTTTCTGTCATTTTCTATCTTGTTTGATTTCTTGTAAAGGACACTATTCTGTAATTTTTAAAAATAGCTTTTTAACTGGTTGGCACTATTAGGGGTTGGGTATGCAAATACTAACTTTTAGGGAATATCAACATTGGAAAATCCCATTTATGGTTCAAGATGTACATGATTTCACTTGGTTCTAATAACCCTTCCAGGAATGTAAATTCTTTCCCCTCTGTCTATCAAACTACATTTTTAATCCCTTAATAGGAACACTTCATAAAAAGTTCAATGAACTTTCATGAATCCCTTGTCTGCTATGGCACACAGAGAGGTAGCAACAGCCCCTCAGCTGCCTGGTGGAGCCAGTACCTTCCCAGATGTCTCTGCCCTTCTTCCTTCCACTCCCCGGGAATTGTTTCTGAACCCAGCCACACCTGTAGTAGTGATCCCTGGGTAGGCCCATCCTGCAGTAGCAGTGGACTGCAGCAGCTCAAGAGGCCACCTAGACCAGAGGTGCTGAAAGTTAAACCTGCACCTCAAAGCAGAGGGAAGCCTGAATATAAATCTCCTTATTCATCCCCGGTACTCTCAGCCTCTCCCTAAGAGACATCCATTTTCACACCTTCACACACAGGGCAGACAACAACGAAAACATCAAGCAGCTTTGGTTCATGTAATTCCTGCCCACCTTCAGAGTGAGCACACACAAAAAAGGCAAAGGATGTGGTGGAGGGTGAGAATTATTTAGGTAAAAAAAGGTTTTTCAAAATTTAGAATGAAAAACCATCCTTTCATAGTTTAAAATCAAAGGACAATTTTGATGTTACAATTCAGATTAAAGACTTTGCTCCAGAATCCTTAGCCTGTTGAAATGAACAGTTTTTTGGGATTCAGAATTACCAATGACTAAATGGATAGTATATATCTACCATAGCATCTTAAGTATTCAGAATTACTTATTATATACCAATGACTAAATTTTCCCATCAATAGTGTCGGATAATATATATATATATATTATATATATTTTATTTTAAGATTCTATTTATTTTATTTGAGAGGTAGAGTTACAGACAGTGGGAGAGAGAGACAGAAAAAGGTCTTCCTTCTGTTGGTTCACTCCCCAAATGGCTGCAATGGCTGAAGCTGTGCCAATCTGAAGCCAGGCCGGCACTGCTGCCTGCCATTTCCAGAAATCAAAGGAAACAAACTGAATTCACTAACATCTTTAAAATCCTTCTACAATTATTTTATTATAAATACGTTCTTTTGGAATAAACAAATATCGCATTCAAGACTACCTGTCAATCTGCTCTAAAGTAATAAACAAGGGAAAATGGAACCAGGAACCTTGTAGAAGCAGACAAACAGCAAAGACACCTGCATGCCATGCACAGTGCCTTCCCCCTAAAACGCCAGGCGCTTCTTCCCAGTCTCCCACGTGGGTGCAGGGGCCCAAGGACTTGGGCCATCTTCTACTGCTTTCCCAGGCCATAGCAGAGAGCTGGATAGGAAGTGGAGCAGCTGGGATTAGAACTGGTGCCCATATGGGATGCCGGCGCCACAGATGGAAGATTAACGTACTACGCCACAGCGCTGGCCCTGGTAATATATATCATAATATCAAGTATTTTTAAGAAGAGTAGTCATTGGCCAGCGCCACGGCTCACTAGGCTAATCCTCCGCCTTGCGGCACCGGCACACCGGGTTCTAGTCCTGGTCGGGGCAACGGATTCTGTCCCGGTTGCCCCTCTTCCAGGCCAGCTCTCTGCTGTGGCCAGGGAGTGCAATGGAGGATGGCCCAAGTCCTTGGGCCCTGCACCCTCATGGGAGACCAGGAGAAGCACCTGGCTCCTGCCATCAATCGGTGCAGTGTGCCGGCTGCAGCGCACCGGCCATTGGAGGTTGAACCAACGGAAAAGGAAGACCTTTCTCTCTGTCTCTCTCTCTCACTGTCCACTCAAAAAAAAAAAAAAAAAAGAAGAGCAGTCACAAAGTGAAGACCTAAATGTCAGAGATAAATTTAAATAAAATTCCCAGTGCCCAGTGTTTCCCCCTCACAATATCTCTCCCACAAGATAGATATTAATAACACAAGAAAAAAATAGTATTTTTTCTCCTTGACAGTGGAGAAACCTCAGACACTGCCCTAATGAGGAAATCAAAGTTCACTTCACCAGTGATAAGACAGAAAGCACAGGTGCTGCTGATAGATGCAATGACAAAACACAGGATCAGTTCTGCGAACTCCTGCCAAAAATGTACAACCTGAGCTGAACCATAGGGAAACATTGGTCAAACCAAAACTGGTTTTTTAACCCCCAAATTAATTTGTTCCATTCATGACAAGCGTCGGGTAGCTGGCCGCTGACGGCTACTCCTCACCTTCTCACCGTGAAGGGCGGCGTGCATGGCAGCCTCCCTACAGAGGGCGGTCAGGTCCGCGCCCACGTAGCCCACCGTCATTTCTGCCAGGAGCCCCAAGTCAACCTCACTGCAGACGGGCATCTTAGAGGTAAGCACTTGCAGAATCGCCTTTCTTTGTTTGAGTGTGGGAGTCCCAATGACAATCTGTAGGCAAAGCCAAACAAAAAATCTTAGTTTACAGTTTAAAAAAAATGTTTTTTTATCCTCACAAATGAGTACAATAATTTAGCAAATGACTGTGTCACTACTGTCATTTTTTTTTAAATAAAATGTTATTTATTTATTTGAAAGGCAGAGTTACAGAGAAGCAGAGGCAGAGAGAGAGAGAGAGAAAGGTCTTCCATCTGCTGATTCCCTCTCCAGATGGCTGAGCTGATCTGAAGCCAGAAGCCAGGAGCCAGGAGCCAGGAAGCTTCTTCCAGGTCTCTCACACAGGTGCAGGAGCCCAAGGACTTAGACCATCTTCTGCTTTCCCAGGTCACAGCAGAGAGCTGGATCGGAAGTGCAGCAGCCAGGACTCGAACCGGCACCCACAGGGGATGCCAGCACTGCAGGTGGTGGCTTTACCAACTATGCCACATCGCTGGGCCCCGAGTGCTACATACTTTTAAGCATATCCTAAGACTCTAGAATAGCAAACCTGAGAATCTGGTCCCTGCTCTGTGAAGCTCCATAGGAGATGGGTACCAGATGATGCAAGGAAGAAATTCACTCCATTCCCCAATAGGTTCACCAAAAAGTGTGCAACTATCACCTCTCTTTAGAATCCCATCACAAAATGCAAATACTTAATCACTAAATTTCAAACTTTTCTTTAGAAATAGAAAATTTAGGATCCATTTATAAAATAGGAAGGCTTTGAATACTGAACCTTCCTGGGAACTTAGGGAGTAACTGTGGATACTTTCCCAACTGGGATCAACTGAACAACAGGGTTAAAGTGTTCTTCCATTCAACAATCTTGGCCCACGCTACGGTCAATATCTATAATTTCTGCAAGCATTACTTTCAACTGCATCTGACACAGCTTGGAGGTGTAAGTCACTCCTTGCCAATCAACAAGCTCTGTTTTAGCTACAAAACTACATCTTGGACATCCTCCAGAGGGAAATATGGGTTTTTGATATCATAGCTGTTACCTATCAACCAGTGGCTACCGATTATTTGGAACTTGTTGACCGTTATGCTCAAACTCTGCTGCCAATTTTACAATGCTCATTTCAGACCGGTTCTACCAGACTCCAATTCAAGGGCCATGGATGATCACATTCAGCTTCTCCTTTTTTTTTAACACGGTCTGGTTAACCACAGTGACTTCAACTTCCCTTTCAGCTCTTGGTGTACATACTCAAAACATCAAGCAAAATGCAAGATGTGAGAGGAGTTCATTGCAATATACTGGACTCTATTTGGCTGAATTTATGTGACACACCTGCTTGGGAAATAATGTGTTCGATTCTCTTCTGCTGCATATATAAGAACCATTTCCTGTTAGGTAATGTGATGTTTTGACTTTGGGTTTAGTATGGTTTAGTACAAATACCCAGGGACAAACTCTTCGACTGAATACCTCTAAGAGACAAATCGTTCAACTGACCCCTCAACAGTGAGACAGGATGTTGATATCCTCACAGGCAATGAATAAATCCACAAGAGAAATACCCACTTTAGTGCTTCTTCTGCCTTCCCCTTTTTTAGTTCAACACGCTTCTTCAGACTACGCAGCTACTTTTAAAATTCTCACTCCAAATCTCTGAGTTTAAAATCCTGAAAGCAGACCAAGTTCCCTCATATATTAACATTGCTATTACAGTATACTACTCATTAGCAGGATCTGCTCAACAAAACGAATTCCCTAACGGCAATTTGACCCTCGGAACAGGAGCTGGTCACTGACCACACACGGACAAAGTAGTGGTCTCTGTATTACAAAAAGCCCTAGTCCAGCCTCACTGACTCCCAGACCTACAATGCCTCAGGGCAGCCAACCAGGGCCAGCAGAGGCCACGGTTCCAGGCCCAGTGATGGCACGCGGGAACAACTCACTTCTCGGTCAAATCTCCCGGGTCTGCGCAGCGCTGGGTCTAGGGCGTCCGGCCGGTTGGTGGCTCCCACAACCACGACCTCGCGGTCCCCACTCATGCCGTCCAGCAGCGTCAACACTTGGGCCACCACGCGGCTCTCAGGGGCTCGGTGCAGACCTCCCCGCCGGGGGCACAGGGCGTCCACCTCGTCCAGGAAGAGGACACTCGGCCCGCGGCGGGCCAGCTCCCGCGCGCGCTGGAACACCCGCCGCACGTTCTCCTCGGTCTCCCCAGGCCGGGAGCCCTGCAGCGCCGGGGCACTCACGGCCAGCAGCTCTGCGCCCGCCTCCCGGGCCACGGCACGCACGAGCTGCGTCTTGCCCACCCCGGGCGGGCCTGCGAGGAGCACCCCGCGGGGCACGGCTAGGCCCAGCGCGGCCAGGGCGCTGGGGTAGCGCAGCGGCAGCAGCAGCAGCTCCCGCAGCGAGTCGGCCGCCTCCGAGAGGCCCCCCAGAGGCACCTCGGACTTGGGCTCTGCCTTCGACCGGGGCTCCGCGCTGAGACTGATGCAGGTGCGAGGAGTCACCAGCCCGGCCGGATCCGGGTTAGGGCTCCCGCCGACGATGTGCAGGGCTGCCACAGGGCCGGGTGCGCCCGGTGGAGCGGCCACCACATGGCCTAGGGAGACAGGGCGGTTCCTCAGCAGCTCGTGCGCCGCCTCCAGCACTGCAGCTTCATCGTGGGCGCCGGGCGCGCCCGCCGGCTCTCGCAACACCGGCCACAGGGTGAGGCGCCGTAGGGGCGGACAGGGCACCAGGCGGAGGCGGCTCAGGCTGAGGCTCCCCCGGGACCCCGGCGCCCTTACCGCCGCCCCGGGGCTCGCGCACCGCAGGTCCAGCTGCACAAAGCCATCCGCTCGGTCCCGCCGCGGCCAGGCAGTGCAGAGGCAGGAGCCGCCGTCGGGCAGCGAGATCTTCACCGCTGAACCTAAGTGCGCGCCCAAAGTGCGGAGGGCTGCCGGGCCGAGACGGCAGCGTTGGGTACCCCTATCTCTAGCGTCTACGGGTAGCAGCTGTAAGAGCGGCTCTTTGGTACAGGCACCCGAGTCCGTGGACATTGCACGCGAAAAGAACGAGTCTCAGGAAATTGGGGCAGGAATTCCACCCGGGCGGGAAAGGCCGGCACACCGCGCTCCTGGACCGGAAGCTGGTGGCGCGCATGCGCAAGGGGAGACGTTTTGTTGCCAGGTGCTGAGTGAAGGCCGGAAGGGCCAATTGGAAAGTTAGTCGACGCTCGAGTGAAGTTTTGGGGTCTACTTTGGTGATGCAGAGCGGCTCCTCCCAGAGCTGTGTGGATGTGGTCTTCGTTATAGGTGGCTGGGAGGTAGCGTACACTAACTTCAGTAGGATATTAGCATGTACTTTGTTACAAACACTGTGGGCATCATCGCATTGCATACCCTTTTCATGGCCTTCTGTCTGGAGCGTTCCCACCGCTGCTGGTGTAATATCCGCCTAGGGACTGCTGTTTTGTGAAGAAATTCCTACTATCCCCCGGGGTGCAGTATTTTTGGGTGCTGAGGGTCTCATGTCTTAGGTGAGCTGCAGTAACAGAATACTCCTGTCTTCCGTGACCGGGATTTCAACCTTTCTGGGAGATCCAGGCACAGCTTTCCTACAGAAAATCACCAGGATAAGAGAAAGATGCGCAATTAGCATTTAAAATCCCTTGCAGACTGTATGGCAACATCAATGGGAAATACTGTTGGATCTGGGGTCTTAAGACCACTGCTAATTCCAAGTCTCCTTCTGTCCAAATTTAGTGGCAGACTTCTAGACTTCACAGAAAACTTGTCTGGTCTCCACCGTACTTTTCTGGTTTCAGTGCTGGAACAACTTAAATCAGAAAATAGCATAGCAAGAGAAGATTCTGAAATGGGTAAGTCACCCTTTGCTTCCTATTTTTTTCTTTCTTCTAAACACATTGGCTTCTGTTTTCTTTGGTGTTTTCTCAATAACAATTTTGCATTTTCTGAAACAAAACCCATCACTTTTACTGACCTCTGGAAATGTGAGTAAAATGCATATAAAGGTATTCTGTCATGATACCAGTACCTTATGAAGTCTCTTTTATTCCAGTTCCAAGAAGCTTTGAGTATCTAGAAAGGGAAAGAAGACATAAATGAGGACATGAAAATGGTCTAAAATGTGTAAAGAACTGTTATGTAGAAGAGTAGGTAAATTTATAGCTATACATGGTATATAGATATAAGTAGATATACATCTGATATACATAGATATGAATATGTATATCTATATGGGATAGATAAATAAACCTACCTACTCTTATACATTAGATAAATATATCTATATGGCAGAACTGGCCAAGAAGCAGAAGTTTAATGCAATCAACTTAAGAGTCTTCCCAGCCATATGTTGAGCATGTGAAAAACATAGCAAGGGGCATAACTGAAAGCAGCATAGCAAAACAAATATAGGGAGGCAAATAGAGTTAAATCAGTCTTTTTTAATTTAATTAATGCATTTTTACATAGGTACAACTTTAGGAATACAGTGGTTCTTTCCTCCATACCTCCTACTCCGCTCCCATCCCATCTCCCATTCCCTCTCCCATCTCCTTCTTTATTATGGATTTTTTTTTTTTTGACAGGCAGAGTTAGTGAGAGAGACAGAGAGAAAGGTCTTCCTTCCATTGGTTCACCCCCCAAATGGCCGCTACAGCCGGCGTGCTGCACCAATCCAAAGCCGGGAGCCAGGTGCTTCCTCCTGGTCTCCCATGCAGGTTCAGGGCCCAAGCACTTGGGCCATCCTCCACTGCCTTCCCAGGCCACAGCAGAGAGCTGGACTGGAAGAGGAGCAACCGGGACAGAACTGGTGCCCCAGCTGGGACTAGAACCTGGAGTACTGGTGCCGCAGGTGGAGGATTAGCCTAGTGGGCCGGCATGGATCATTTTTAGTATTAGCATTTAGAATTTGCAGTCAGTTCTCATATTACAATTCATTAGGGACAGAGATGCTACCTGGGGAGCAAGTGCACAGTGACTAATGTTTTTCCTTTAACAATTAACACTCCGTTTTTATAACATCAGTGATCATCCGAGGCTCTTGTCATGGGCTGCCAAGGCTGTGGAAGCCTTTTGTGACCATAGACTCCATCGGTATTTGGACACGGCCAAGTTAAATCAGTCTTAAAGTTTACTGCATTGGTTTGAAATACAGATGGTGGCTGTGATATTAGGACTGTGATTTGGAGGAAATAACATGTTGCTTTGGATTGTCTGAGAGGTTGATTTTATACAAGATCAAATGAGAATCCTCTAATAGGACCAGTATATGCACTGAATAGTCACTTCACCCTCCCCCTAAAAGGTCCAGTCCTCAGATTAAATCATAAACAAAAGCAACAAGGAATCCTGATCCTGCACCCTCAGCTCTTAACCACTCACTCATAGCAAAACTATAACTTTTTTCTAATCAGCCACTAAAATCCACTGCGTTCCTTTAGGTCAGACCATTGGCAATATCTATCTATCTTTCTTTTTTTTTTTTTTTTTTTTTTTTTTTTTTTTTTTTTACAGATGGAGTTAGACAGCGAGAGAGAGATATAGAGAGAAAGGTCTTCCTTCCATTGGTTCACCCCCAAAATGCCGCTATGGCCCAAGCTACGCTGATCCAAAGCCGGGAGCCAGGTGCTTCCTCCTGGTCTCCCATGCGGCTGCAGGGGCCCAAGCACTTGGGCCATCCTCCACTGCCTTCCTGGGCCACAGCAGAGAGCTGGACTGAAAGAGGAGCAACCAAGACTAGAACCTGGCGCCCACATGGGATGCTGGTGCCGCAGGCAGAGGATTAACCAAGTGAGCCACAGCGTCAGCCCCGGCAATATCATTATTTCAACAACTTGAACACTATGTTTATCATAGCAGTCAGTGACACAGTCTTATCTTGAGGAAAACTATTCTAATGGCAGTTATGTGGTTCTTTAGCTTATTTGTAACATAATCCCAAATTCGCTAATTTTGTGAATTGGAGAGTACCAATTAAAGCACCAAAAGGTTGAACCACTAGAGGGAGTCAGAACCCTGCAGACGACAGGACTGTTAGGAAATAGAAGTATTCTCAATTGTGGTCTCCATTAGATTTCCCAACATTCACACCCAGGTGTATGAAACCATTTGTTGTCTCTATTTAGTGTCTTAGTCTGTTTGGATTGCTGACACAAAATACCTTGAACTGGCTACCTTATAAACAACAAACATTTCTTACAGTTCTCGAAGCTGGGAAGTAAACAATCAAGACACCGGCTGATTCTGTGTCTGGTGGGGAACCACTTTCTAATTCATAGACAACAGCTTCCACTGTGTCCTAAATTATGGAAAGGACTAGCTTTCTCTCTCAGACTCCCCCCACCCAGAAAACTTTTACTTAAGAAATACAAACTTCATGCATTGTTTAAGTACAACTTTAGGGACATAGTTTTTCTTCCTGCTGTACCCGCCCTCCCACCTACACTCCCACCTTGCTTCCTCCTTCCTCTCCTATTCCCATTTTTATTTTTTACTAAGATCTATTTTCAATTTCAATTTTCCGTTTTCAATATTTATTCTATACTAACTAAAGAGTTCAACAAATAGAATGAAGTAAAAACACTGTTCCTCAACAGAAGAGACAGGGGCTGTTCAAAGGTGTCACATCTCAAAGTGTCAATTTCACTTCTAGATTACCTTTTAGGTGCTCTATTAGTTACCACAGATCAGGGAGAAGATACAGTATTTGTTCTTTGGGGTCTGGCTTATTTCACTAACTATGATGTTTTCCAGTTTCATACATTTTGTTGCAAACGACAAGATTTCTTTTTTTATATAAATATATATTTATTTGAAAGTCAGAATTACGCACAGAGAAAGAAGGGGAGGCAGAGAGAGGGAGGGAGGGAGAGAGAGAGAGAGAGAGAGAGAGGTCTTTCATCTGCTGGTTCACTACACAGTTCGCTGCAACGGCCAGAACTGTCAGGAGCTTCTTCCGGGTCTCCCATGAGGGTGCGGGGGCCCAAGGACTTGGGCCATCTTCCACTGCTTTCCAGGCCATAGCAGAGAGCTGGATCAGAAGTGGAGCAGCCAGGACTCGAACCGGCACCCATATGGGATGCTGGCACTGCAGATGGCAGCTTTACCCACTACACCACAGCGCCGGCCCCAAGTTTTTTTTTTTTTTTTAACTGTTGTGTAGTATTCCACAGTGTATATGTCTCATAAATTTTTTATCCAGTCTTCAGTTGGTGGACATCTGGGTTGATTCCATATCTCAGCTATTGTGAATTGAGCTGTATCTCTCAGGCCTTTTAAGGTCATTAATCTCATTCATGAGGACTTCACTCTCATAACCCAAAGGCTCTACATCTTAATACTGTTCTCTTGAGGGTTAGAATTTCAACATGTATTTTGTGGGGGACACAAATGTTCAGACTCCAGCAATAACTAACATTTTTTCATATAACTTCTGAATGCCTCAGGTCTTATAGAAATAAATTTCCCAGTTAAAATTTAATTTTTTAATTAATATATTTTATATATATTTTTATATTTATCATATCATCCCATGTGGTCACTGGTTGGAGTCCCAGCTGCCGTACTTCTGATCCAGCTCTCTGCTAATGTGCCTGGGAAAGCAGCAGAAGATGGCCCAAGTCTCTGGGTACCTGCACCCACATGGGAGACCCAGATGAAGCTTCTGGCTCCTGGCTTTCACCTGGCCCAGGCCCAGTTGTAGCAGCCATTTGGAGAGTGAACCAGTGGATGGAAAATTCTCTCTCTGTCTCTCCTTCTTGCTCTCTGTTACTCTGCCTTCCAAATACATACACACATACATGAAAACAGAAACAAAAAGAGAACCAACCAACCTGTAATTCCTGCCTTCATGAAGCTTATAGTTTAATGGGGAAGTCACACATTAAAGGAATCAAAAAAGTAAATAACCCATATAATTAAAGGTAATGAAGATGCTATGAAAGAAATAAACAGAAAAGGACTAATTTACATAGGTATTAAGGATAGGGGAAAGATGGGGGCTGGCACTGTGGTATAGAAGTCTACACCTCCACCTGCAGTGCCGGCATCCCCTATGGACACCAGTTCAAGTCCTGGCTGCTCCCCTTCTTATCTGGTTCCCTGCTAATACACTTGGGAAAGC